CGGTATGGTACGCTCGAGCTAGAATCAGTCACGGAGGCGTAATGGTTGATTGAAAAGATTATTTACTTATACCCAAGGTGGTCGCGGTGTAGGCTGGTCAGCTTTCCAGGCACAGCTCTGCTTGAGTTCTCGGTGGAGGACTCTAATAGACTCGGTTCCTTGACCCCGGAGTGGTTTAGGCTCCGCGGGTTCAATAATTCGTTCTCACGGAGCAGCTGTATCTCTGTGGGTTACTCGGTTCCCAGGTCCCCCGGAGCTGTTAAGACTCCGTGGGTTCGACAATTGGGTCCATAGGATAGGGATACATCTGGACTGCGATCAGCGATGGGGAGAGGCTAGAGGGTATGTGCCTCGGAGTTGTTAAGGCTCTGAGGGTTTGGTAAATAGGTCCCCTGGAGTTGCTGAAGCTCCATGGGTTCAACAAATTAAACCTCTGTTGCCCTCTTAAGGAAAAAGCTGGGTTCGTAAGGATCAGCAGCGCTTAGAAATCCTTCCGCTCCTTTCCCAAACTCCACGTGCTTTCTCTCTCTCCGACTTGGGCGGAAACTACCCAAGCCTTTTGTACGGCTAGCAAGCCAATAGCTAGCCGCCACGTGTGCCTATATTAAGACTGGCCAATAATGTGGCAGAAATCTCAATACAAATGGTGGGAACTCCTTTACATCGTGCATCACTATAATGCAAAAGGAATGCACTATGCAAAGAAAGCTACAGAACTAGCGGGAAAAGCTCCTGCACGCAGGTTCTTAATTGCAACAGAACACTCCACCGTGCAAAAGAGCTGCAATTTGGCGGGAACATGATTTAGCGATGCTGAAGCGCACACAAACAAGAAAAAACACAACTTTGGGTTGCGACAACAGGGAACCTGTACAGAGGCTCCCTAAGGTGCTCTACTTTACAGCACCACGTCTGACACTTCATCAGATGTGGGTTAAATTTTCACACAGCTGGCCACTTTGAAGTGCTCTGCAGCCATGAACATTTAGCACTTTCAGGGGCCTCATCATGCGGAAAATGTAACTTCTGAAAACACCCTTAAGGACTGTAACAATGTTCAGTAGGAATCATTAAATGAGATGTACTTAGCCAAAGACACTCTCTTTATTAAATTTGTACTATGCTAAATTCTTCATGATAGATCAAAGCAAAAAACCCTCAGTTTAAAACCCATTTTGTTTTAAAATTGTGTGGCAGTGGCTAGTTGATGTATAGTTCCCTTTTTAAAGCTTATTAAGGAAGACTACATTTCAGAAATATATAATCAATTCATAAGAATACCTCCATAATCTCTTGTTTTTCATCTGGTGCAAAAAGGTTGGGTACTTCCCCAGTATTGAGCACACTGTCAATATCTTCCAAAAAAGCTTCTTCTTTAATCTGCGTGTCTGTGATTATAAAAACAGTTTTCAAGCCCTTCACACCTGCATTCTTCAACAGGTTCTAAAAGATAAAATCAGTTCATTCAAAACATTGTACTATCTAGAATACTCCTCTGGAAAATTCAGAAACATATATACACATATGTGGTAATACTTACCTTCAGATCATCCCTCCACTCATTCATACCATAACTCTTAGAGATCTCTGGCTGAAAAACACACATTTTTGCCATGAATGTAGCCAGACGAGTCAAGGACTGACGTCCACTTCCTCCCATTCCAACAAGTAAGGCATTTCCACCTGACTGCTTCAAAATACGGCTTATCCGAGACAAATGTTCCAACACGTACCTAATGTTGAAATACATTAATCATGATGATGACAATGAACAACTTATATATGTATGAGATTTTTCTAAATCAATACATTTAAGTTCTGTCAGGAAGTTAGGAAAGTTGTAAAGAAAAATATGTCTTCCCAACATAAATACAAACACATGACCAGCAACAAACTGATCGTTCAAATCTGTTAAAACTATAACCACTTTACACATATCACCCTCTAGAGATTGGGGAAAGGAAAAAGAACAGGTCTGCATTAAGAGGTACATCAATCAAAAAGAAGGAAATAACAGAAAAGAACCTCCCAGTTCTAATGCACAGTAGTTCCATTACTCATACATTTTTGGTAATGTAAAAACAATATGAATCTATTAGGGAAGGATCCATAAGCAAAAACATGGGACAGTTAAAATATTTCCCACCCCCTTCAGAATACAGAGTATAGCTTATCTGGGAAACAGAGTGAAACATTCTTTGGAAGAAGGCATGGTTAGGTGATCCAACCTCCAATCTATTGCAGAGATGCTGTGCCTTGGAATACACACTACTGCCCAAAAGAAGAACACTACTTATTGAATGACCAATGGAAGAGTAATATATATGACAACTCAAGTGGACCACTATGCTACAATTACTCAAATGTATTATATTAATTTATATTACATGTCACAATAACAGGATTGGATGAAGGAATTGTTAGTGGAATTCTAAATGCATTTTCCTGTGTTAATCTAAAGGAATAAGCATAAACGTGCATATCTTTTCCAATGAAACTATTTGTATTGCCACAGATATCTGCCAATAGGTAAGAGAGATGTGTGTAGACGTGTGAAAGGACAGAGAAAGGCAAAAGGCCACTCCTGTTGCAGAAGTATGGAAGAGATGCTCTCAGACTTTCATGTACCTTTGGGATGGAAATGATACTCGAGTTTGTCTGAGTATTCTAACTGTTCTAATGAATTCTACAAAAGAGGACTGGAAGCTTTTTACTGTCATCTGCCTTTTTAACAGGTGGTTTTATCATCAGCCTAAGCCTTGTCCAAATCAAAATGTTCTCCTTTTACAAGCGGAAGTGGAATTAGATGGATGAAATGCAATACCCTTTAATTTTTTTTCCTTTTAACTTTTAAGTGACATATCACTTTATGTACTTTTATCAGATACTAAGGTTTTAAAATAATATGCTTAAAATATAATAAACTATAAATATAATCATTATCTTTGCATTTATATAACTTTGCATATAAGGTTCCTTAAAGATGGGTTCATATTATTCCCATTTTCCAGATGGAAAAACAGAGACAGTGATTAAATGATTCATTGACATGTGATGGATTAGAAAGTATATTACCATTCTCTAACTTTAGGTCTCAGCTGTAATCAGTAGACAAGAATGTTTTCCTTATGAAAAGAACCACTTGAAGAAAGTAAAAGTTAGTGCACTGGAGCAGGAAAAAAAGCTACTGTCCCACCCTCATTTCTGATAATTTTCTCAACTAGCAGATAAAGAAGCATCTCTACCAATTTACTCCCCCGCCCCAGAAAAGGTCTTGCTTTTAACTTTTACTAAGAGGGAGCAACAATTCCTTTTTAAGGAATGTAGGGCTCATTTAAAATGATGCAAAAAAACAAAATTTTAATAGTATTCTTATGAGCTAACTTTTTTTCTATTATCATCTCAAAGACAATAAATTTTGACTTGTCCTAATTGGACAAAAAATACATCAGAAGCTATGTCAGGATTTTTATATGTGCATTACATTTCCAGATCAATGGCTTAGGCTGCATAGCCAAAATCTTATAGACAAGCTACAGCAGCAAAAATGGACCATAGTTGTGCTGCACCTTAGACTCAGGGTAAAATGAAAGTCTGGAGTCTGCTAGCAAGGACAGAAGGTCCATCCAAGCTTAATGGTCCACTGGGATAGTGTTGTTAAGACATACCAGAGTGAAGTGGCTAGCACCACGTCTGGTTACCTTTGATTGCATGACCAAATACCCATTTATAGCTAAATCAACTGTATATGAGCCCAGAGGAGGGCTAGAACTCATGCTTCCAGAACTGTAGAAAGACACCTGAAGTGCTCTGTCACCATGCACCTGGCTGCAAAATAAGTGGTATGACTCCCCACGAATTGAAGAAGCACCAATGCACCAACAGAGCAGCACTGGAATTGGTGCAGAGGTTTACAGAATGCTACCCCAGAAGCAACTCAGTCAAGGGCCCTCATGACAAAAATATCGTGTCAGTCATCAAACAGCTAAAGGAATAAGCTGCATAAGCTTCCCAATCAAACCACTTCAATTGCCCAAGTATCTGCCAAGAGATAAGACAGATTGGTCTAGACATGTGAAAAGGAAGAGAAAGGCAAGGTACACCTTCTAAAATATAATATGGTCACATTATCTAGCACCCCGAACTACCATATTTTCTCAACTATAAGATGACCCTGATTATAAGATGACTCCCCAATAATTAGATTCTATACATAGAAAATATATAAATTTGATACAATTTTCCAGGTATAGAATCTAATTATGGGAGGTTTGTCTTGAATTTGTCCCCTTCCCACTGCTACAGTGAAGAAAAGAAACCTGGGAGGATATTTAGCGCCTTTGCCCTCTGCTCCCCAGAACTTCTTTCCCCTGCAGGCTCTTCCCCTCTTCCTCACTGTCAGACTCTGCTCTCCCTGAGCACATGGCAGTGAGGAACGAATTTGAAAAAACTGACCTTGAAATAAATACTCATCACTGTAGTAAGTTACACATAGCACATATAGACCTAGTTCACCCTGAATTGATTCATTTAACCTTTTTTGAGGTAAAGTTTTAGCACAGGTATTCCATAAACATATTTTTAACCAGCATTTTGGCACCTACTTATATATAGCATAAACAAGGCTTTTTTTTTTGGCTTTTTTTTTTTTTAAAGGAAAATTTTTCATGTTCCTAGCCAAATCATCCAAATCAATCCCAAAACCACGAGTCATTCAAGAACCATATATGGCCCTAGTACTGGCAAACATCCTCCACTCCCACCTGGGGCTTCAGATGTTTCCAAATCATTTGGCAGGCATCTTACGTGCAGGCCCAAACCCGGAGGCTTGGGGTTTGGATGCCCCCAGGTTTTGCTTGCCCTCAGCCATATGGCTGTAGGAGCAAGCTAGGGAGGAGTCTCCCAGTTCCATAAAGTGGGCATAAAGCAAGATCTTCTCACTGGAAATGGAAGTGGGAGAGTAACTATCAGGGATCCTGGTTTTCTCTGATAAAAGAAATCACAAATTCTCTGATAAAACCCCCAAAATTCATGATTAAAATTAAAAGCCCCCTATAGCACCCTCTAGCCCTGCTGGTGCCCTTCATTAACCCCTCAATAACCCCCCCAGCCCTGCTGGTGCTCCTCACTTGCCCCCAAAGCCGTCCCAACCCTGCTGGTGTCCCTCGCTGCCCCCAAAACAGCCCCCCACCCTACTTGTACCTCTTGCCCTTCCCCACAGCCCCTGCCCCCCACTCCTGTCAGAGGGGACCTCCAGCTGCCAGGTCTATGGGGCCAGGGACCCAAGTCTGCAGCTCCCTGCCCCCAACAGCAGGCAGCTGCAGCAGAAGCAACATGGAGCTGGCTCCCCTACTGCTCTGCCTGCTCAGGTAGGTGCGGGGCTGGCTCCTGGCTCCCCCCAGCCCTGCCGGTGCCCCCCCAGCCCAAGGGGCCCCCAGTCCCCTGCAAGCCCCACTTACCTCAGGCTCCAGGAGCGAAGAGTGCAGCTGAGCTAAGTGGAACTGTGGCCAACTGAGCACCTCAGGCCACGCCCTTCCCCTGTCCCCTTCCCTTCTGGGCAGGGCTAGGGGTTTCCCACCCAGTTTCCAAAAAGATCTTGCAGGCTAGAGCTCCACCAGCCTGCAGAACTGTTTTCAAAAGCAGAGAATCTGTGGTTTTCTCTGCTAAAAGGAGAAATCCATGTTTTCTCGGATAACAAAGGGCAAATCTGTGGTTTTGTCTGTTTTTCCATGGGAAACACAAAACCAGGATCCCTGGTAATTATACATTACCTCTGCCCAAGTACTACCCAATGCCAGAAAAACAGCCATCCCCTGCCCCTGGGAAAATTGCCTTAGTGGTAACAGTACTTCCCATAGCTATCATAAACAAGGCATGATATTAATCCAAAGCCAAAAGGCCCATGATTTACTATATAGTTCACTGGGCTGGGCCCCACCAGGGTCAACAGCATTCCAAGACACGGTGACCCCACAGTTCAGAACTACTCAGTATGTGTGCATTCCAGATACCCCCGACAAAGGATACATGTGCTAATGAGCACCCACTCATGACTGGAACTGAGCATTCTTGTCATGAGCTCTGGGATCCTCCAAAACAATTATATGCAGATAAGGCACAGGGAAATCTGGTCTGGCTTCACCTCATGGACTACACTAATCATATGCGCCAGCCTGAGAGAAGGACTAACAGAGGGATTCTGAGTGAACTGTTTGGGGCCCTGCTTGATGTTTGCTACATGTTTAAGGCTGGTGAAGAAACAGGACTCATTGGAAATAGGAAAGAAAGGTGCAGCTCAGCTGTGGGAGTGAAGAGGAAATCAAAATGTATGCAATGTAGTAGATCACCTAAGCTGAGCGGCAGGACAGCATGGAAGAAGACAGAGGCAAAGATGAAGCAGAAACTGGGGCTGTGGCACATGCACTCTCTCTCCATGTGGGGGCGTGTCGTGCTTGTGAAGGTGGTGTTCTTACCAGTGCTTCTGTACACGGCACTGGTCTTCCCCTCTTCTGAGCGTGTCACCCACAGGATCCAGAGGGCCGTGTACATTTTCTTCTGGGGCTCCAGATGGGAAAAGGTCGCCCAGAAGACCTTGTACAAAGACAAGGGGTCCAGGGGCATTCTCCTGTTCCTGTAGGCCAAGTATATGACCCTGATCTGCAAGCTGGTGATGGATGCAGAATCCAAAACCGCCTGCCTCATGAGATACTTCGTAGGGTACATCCTGAGACACTGGGGAGTATTCACCCCGACCAACCATAGACCGTGGATCTTGGGTGCACCCTGGTTCTACGAGACCCTGAACCAGTGCCACAGTGTGTACGGCAGGGGAGAGCAAGTATTTTGGGCAGAGGGCCGCTTACTGAGTTTTGGCAAGGTATCAAGGGCCGCATGACAGCTAGCCAGGGGCAGATAAATATTAACTTTCTAAATTTTTTAGGGGCCCCATGGGCCAGATAGAATGGCCTGGCAGGCCACATCCAGCCTTCGGGTCACATTTTGCCCACCCCTGGTGTATGGCCTGCAGAACGCAGGCCCAGCGACCATGAGAAACCACAGGAAGATCCAGGACATGGTGAGACTAAAGGATACTACATGTCCCATGGACCTGCTCCCAGGTGACATGTGCCAGGCTGTGTGGAAGCGCATCCACCACAAGGATCTACGCAAAGATCACAAGGACCTGAACTGGTTCATAGCTCACCAAGCTCTACCAGTGAGGGCCCGAAGACATAGAGGGGGCAGTTGGGGAGGCCCAGCTGCCCATGGCCCAACTGCCACATGGCCACTAAGACAATTGACCACCTCCTCTGGCTCTGCACCTGCACCAAGGAGGTAAGGAAAAGGGTGAAGCAGCTCTGTGAAGTGGTGACTGGCGTCAGCTGGCTAACCAGAGAAGCAGCGCTGTATGGGCACCTCACCAAACACTAGGGGAGCCTGTCACTCCGTTTTAATCAGTTTGTGTCCTGCATCAGGAGCGGCCTGTGGAAGGCCAGGAACCTCCTGTTGTACAGGCAAATGGATGCAGAGGTAGTAGGCTGCGTGAAATTGGCTCTGAGCGAACTCCAGACCTACTACCAGAAATCAGTAGTGGAGGATGAAGAGGACGTGGCCAAAGTCACCTGGCACAGAGACATGTGGCACAGGATCATCCAACGTCCCCCGAGTGGAGAGAGGGGCGGTGGCAGCGAAGAAGAGGAAGGGACAAGCGGAACAGAGGATAGCGACAGCAGCAGCGGGTCCTCCAGTGGGAGCTGGAGCAACAATGGAGAGGACACTTGAACTGAGTATGTGACCCCACAAGCGGGGTGGAGATGGAAAGGAAGTGTTGCCTGGTCCGAGGAACCAGGTTTTCCTTATTTGTTTTGTGTGTGTTGCACGCGATGCAGATATTGTAATGGGTTTGGGTGGCCAGAAGGCCTTTGTACGGGTGTGCGGGTGTGGTTTTGTAATGGGTGAAGGTTTTTTTCTTTTTGTGGTGTGATACTAGGAGTGTAGATGCATATAATCTTAGATAGATAGATAGATAGATAGATTTTTACCAAAAAAAAAAATCACCATAACTTGAAAAAGGGGGGACTGCACTCAGTGAGCACTACCACACATCTTATTCGGATGGGTGTACACAGCATGTTTGCCCAATATAGACAATATATTTTATGATCATGCTCAGTGTTGGCTGCATTTAATCAACCTCATAATTGGTTTCCATTACTGATCACATATTGCTTTTAGCAGCAGTTAGAAGACAGACAAAGTACTTAATGCACTTTTCTTATATAAAATAATATAATACAAAATAACACACCTGAAAATTACAAGGTTCATTCTTGTCTTGTGGGTTTGGTTATATTCATCTAAACACTGCTCCACAACATCACTGAACTGTTGAACACTTGGAATTTCAATATAAAGTCTTTCATCTCCTTCAAGGTCAGGGGTCATATAGTCACCAAATACTAAACTCCTAGTATCTTCCTCAGTCACCTATAGTATAAATTTCAATAAATTATAAAGTGAAGTTTAATGATCAGTTTCTTAAGTCAGAACTTTCCAACACAAATTAGATAATAAATAAATGTACACAAGGTGACTGGTGCCTCTTGAGTCAGCAACTGGGGTGGGGTGGGGCCATGGCAGCTGATCCCACTGAGGGGGGTGGTCCCCCACAGCCGATTGCACTCACCAAAAAATGATTTTGCTAGCAGCCCCGCTCCCCGGCCAGCGCTCGCAGGGTGTGTACCGGCACTCCCACCTGCCCTCCTGCCCACCAGCTAAACAGGGAGCGTGGCCTGACAGGGATGCACTGGTGCTTTCAGGGGGTGCATGTGCACCCCCTACACGTCGCCACTGAACGTACATGAAAATGAACAGAAGCTCTGAAATGCATTACATTAGGGAATAGCCAAAATCACTTCATAGTATTATCTATTCCTAGTTTCTATTGCTCCTATACTATGGATGTGTCTACATGAGAAACTAACTGTGTGGTAGCTTATTAACACTGTCCAGTAGTGTGCAGGGCAAAACCCATGCTAATATGCTACTGTGCAGTAGTTTTAGGCTACTAGCAGTTAGCATCACTAAAAAGCCATGCATCGGCACTACTGCACAGTAGCACCAGTTCCTGCTCGTTGATTTAGTACTTGGTTATGCAAGTACCAACTTAATGCACAGTAACTACAGTGCATTAATGAACACATAGATGCATCCAGTATGTAGTAAACATATTTATTAATTCTTGTAACACAATTAACTCAAATTGATTCATATTCTCATACACCAAAATAACCAAGACCTCAAGGGCATCATAAATTAACGCCAGCATGGATGTAGTATCCTTCCTCCTTTTAGGAAATCTGAACTAGAGCCATAAGGTTAGTTCTTCTCCTACACATAAATTAACTGGTTAAAGACAAAAAGGGAGGGAACTTACATAATGAAAAACATCCAAAACGTTAGAATGCAATAACAATTACAGAAAACAAGTTATGATACAATAAGCAATTTATAGGCCAAATCCAAAGAGGGAAAGTTTCTTTATCCATTAAACCAAATTTTGACAGTCCATTAAGAATCTTTATCATCAAATTTCCTCCTGTAGATACCACACTCACAACTGAAACATTTCATTTGGAAAATATTCAAATGAAACAGTTAAACCTTTTCAAACATTTTCTTCTCAATTTTAGGACAAAAATAAATACCAAATTTTATACAAATTCACAAATGTTTCTGTTGACAGGAAATTGCATTTTTTTGGCCAATAATTTGCCTGGCCCTAAATTATGATACGGAAAATAAGGAAAAGGAATGTTACAATGTCAAAAGTAATACTTACAGCTGCACTCCCTTGCTTAAGATGTGCAAAAACTTGGTCAAATCCTTCTTTGAAATGCTCTTTCACTATATCTTTCACCAATCTGAACAACCAGGCTCTATCAGCATCATCAACGAGGCGGTCATAAAATACTCGAAATACTTCATGAACAAAGAGACGAATCATTGTTTGCTTTTTTTCAACTGATTCTTTCTTAATGAGCAAGCAGCCTTGGATAACACGTGAAAAGTCACGCAGATTGAATGTATAATGGGATTTGGCTGGTGTGGGCAGCAGGTTTTTCATGGCTTTCTTATATACCTTAAATATGAAAAACAATGAACAAAAAAAGATCTGTAGATCATATTTTTCCAATAACAGTACTTTACTTTTCAATAGCCTTGGATACAAGGAATTAAAAAAGCACCTTGAAAATATTCAACAACCCTTAGAGTAGGCCTGTACGGTAGACATATTACAAATCTAAATCCACAAATGTAAGGTACAACAAGTGTAAACGAACTATACATAGAAAACCTGTAGCAGAGCTAGTATTACAATCCATGCCTCTTGTTCCCAGCTCTGTACTTTAACCACAAGACCCTTTTTCCTCTTGTGAAAGACTGAATCATAGAAAATGTCAGTTTCAGATCTTTATATGCTGAATCACCTATATTTTGAAACAGATTATTTAATTTCCAGAACTCCAACATAATTGGGAAAAGCTATATGAAATCCCTACACCGTGGATCAAATAGTGAAAAAATAGAATGTTCATGAAGTTCTTCTTACCTCTAAAGTACCACTGACAATCTGGTTTCCAATTGTGAAGAATTCAGGGGCGAATTCATTATTTCGGAGGTAGAAGGCTACTATGGTAGAGAAGATACGGACCATAGTTTCATCACTAAAGGAATTAATGGTGCAAATGTTGAAGTGTCGCAGAAACCGAGATGTAACAGGATTCCTTCCACCACCTGGAGGTCCCATAGCAGCTATCAGCTGCACATCAACCAGTGTAATTTTAGAAGTATCCTTTAAATCATACCTTCAAAACAGATTGCAGTGCAATATTTACACAATTACAACCACAGAAGGTAGTTTTAAATGTTAGACATACCTAACATTACATATTATTTTAGATATGCTACTTTAGCTTAAATTAAGACAACTATGTCTATGGACTCCAGTTAATCAAGGTGAAGCTTCCTTTGGGTTCATGAATTCAGCTGCATGATTTCTCTGTGTATAACTAAGGTTTTAATCATTACTTTTAACTTTGGATACACAAACCATGGGATGAAATTCATACATGAAAGCTAAAAAGATGGCATTTGGAAAGTTATACAATTGAATTTTTTTTTGTTTTTTGTCTTTAGTTCTGGAGATTACATTTAAATAAATGAATAACATAACAACAATTTACTGAAAATTTTAGCTGTCTTGAATAATTACCAAATTCCATGATCAAAAAACTGTCTTAAAAGTTCAATAGGAGGCTGAGCTCCATATTTCTCCAAAGCAGGCATATTCATATCATCCACAAAGATGACACACTTCTTTCCCATAGGAGGGCCAAATACTCCTTTACGTCTTTTGTCTAGCCTGGCCATTATAATATTCTACAATGCAGAACAGAAACATTTACAACATGGATTTAATATATAGGTCAACCATATTATATTAAAAATAGTGTACTGTATTTTAAATTTTTCACAAACATTTATCATTAAGATGCTGAATTTGTAAATATATATGTAAATATATTTTTTCATATTCTTCAGTGTTATTCTACATTTATTTGCTGAACTTATTGAAATAATATGATAATGTTTTAATTTATTTCTGATTTCATATTTGCCTGCCAGCTGACTTCAGGCTTTTTTAAATGATGAAAGTCAATAATGCACTTAGGTGGCTCTGCTAGATCAGAAGAACAGTCAGAACACCTCACTGGAACGAGCCCTCAGTTTTTCCAGACCTTGATTTCACAATTCACTGCTTGAAATTGGAGCATATGCCTGCACCCACACAAGCTCCCCTTAGAACATCCATTTGTAGTTAATTACAGATTTAGGACCTAAATTTAATCATGTCAAGGAAACCACTCATGAAAGATACATTACAGTACTAACTCAGGGCATGACCACACAGGGAAACTGAGCTGTGGGGAAAAAGAAGTGGCTGCTGACAAGTAATTACTCGAGATTTAGGTGGGACTTCAACATGCTATAATTACAGAAAATATACAATACCTCCAGTGACAGAGAAAACAGTTAGGTCAAAGTTTCACCAGCATCTACAGCTGCACATGCAATTTTAAAGCTAAACAACATTAATCCTACAAAAGGATCCACCCACGTGGGTATTATTCAGGCAAAACGAGTCACACGTGGAAATCCCTTTACAGCATCAGGACCAAAGCTTTTATATAACAAAAAGCTGTCATGTGTGTATGTACCAATAAAGAACCTTAGCTAGAAGCCTACAGTAGACATTCATTTTGCCCAGTCAAACAGATTGCACACATACACCTGAGTTTTTGTGATGATAGAATGATTAGATATAAAAGAAACAAAGCACTTGGCTCATAAAAACTTAGATATAAAAATCACTGGTACAATTGTAGTGTCTGAAGATGTGGTTGTAAATATGGACATTTCCAAGTGTTTATCAACATTTCAGCAATGTATTATTATCCAAAAGCAAAGAATAAAATAAAAAATACCAGGTTGTTTTAAAAATAAAATGAACCTCCCACCTTAGTGTTCCATGTAGCTATATCTTCCCTTTTAATACCACAGTTTATCTGTGTTGAATAACAATAAGTTATTATCTGATTTTCTTATTGTTTTATATTTTTTCCAAAACAAATAATTTTTATTTCTTTAAATTTTAGATTTCTAAAACCAAATCCCTCTGGCAATTCTTATGATATAACAATAAAAACATGTGTTTGATAAATATCAATTAAGCATTAATAGATTCAAACTTCCAAATTAAATCAAGCCACACATTTACCCACTCAGGCAAAAGCTTGGGTAACCAAATAGGCTCTGCATTACATCATGAAGATTGACAAAAGGAGCTGTGAATTCCAGAGCTAAGTGCAATGAGTACCTGGTTCATTATTTCACTGACCTGCCAATACTGTACTAACATAAAAAGACATCACAATAAAAATACCTTAGAACGAAGAGCCAAAGTTTGTCAACTGAACAAATCCCATATAAACTCACATTTGGCTCAAAAATGTATATACAATCTAATGCAAACTATCTGTTCTTACCAACCTGGGTTTGATTGGCACTGGTCCGTGCTGAAAAATTAATGAAGAATGGAAAGTAGCACTCCTTTTCCAAATTATTCATTAGCTTGTCCTTTACATAGACAGATTTCCCAGTACCTGTTGGTCCCACTAAAAGCAATGGTCTTTGCAAAAACAATATACAATTATATTAATCTATCAAAAGCAAAATGGACAGCATAGAAAAAAATTATAAATCAAATATACCACATAGAAATTAAACACTAGGGGCATCTTCACACATGTGCCTGGAGCAGGGAACACTTTAATTAAAGCAGCTCCAAGAGCCACTCTAATTAAAGCACCTGTAGAGTCTCTTGTATTCAGTATCCCGTGCTTTAGTTGGTGCACCCCCATGCACTTTTGAAGTGTGGGGACACTGAATACACGAGATGCAGAGGCTGTTGGAGTGCACTAATTACAGTGCGTCAGAGCAGCATCCCCCACACATCTACAGGCATCTAGAACACTAGAAATTAAAAGCTACATTATTTTGTTCTGCTTGTAAATACAGCTTATTTTTAAAAAGACCGATGATGATTAACTTCTGTTCTTCATTATGCACCCAAACAACTCCACTAACGTGAGAAGGCGTTTAAAATAAGCCTGGTTACTGGTGTATAAATGAGAATAGAATTGTGCAGCTTATTCCCTCTAAGATAAATATATATGGTCGGAACTGCATCTCAATGCATTTACAAAGTAATCCTATTTTGGCATCCTTTAAGTCTAACACCATGACAAAGTAGTCAGACAGCCTTTTCTGAATGTTTCTAAACTGCAAAAAATGTTACCCACTGGAAATAAGACACTAAAAATATCGATCTGGGATTTCCAAAAGGATTTGTATAACTCCCTTTGAACGTTAACGGGTTATGGACACTTAACTCTTTCAAGTTACAATGAAAACTCCTGCCATAATCAAAATGCCACTAATGACACATAAGCATAGCCCTTCTCAACAAAGGGTGTCTGATACTGGCCAAATTATGACAATTCCTGTTTATCTTGAGGGAGGTCATATCTGGAGGAGAAGGGACAGAGTGGAAGAATAATTCTTCTGCCTCTAGGTACTGAGGGGGAAGGAAATTTCCCCTAATAATTTTAAGAGTTATCATGTTGCAGTTTCTTGCTTTAGAAACCTTCCCTTGATTCCTGTGTATTTCATTCTCTAGCTCTGCTCATTGTTGGCATAGCTACTGTTTAGCTTATGACTAATTTAAGACAAATTAATCATCACATTTCATTAGAAAAGGCAGTAAGATGGTTTAAAACCTCAGCAGTAATTCTAAAAGCATTGTAGAACACTGTAGAATGAATATATTTTTTAGAAATAATAATATAATGGAGCAATAATAATATAATGCTGGGCCATAAGAAGTTTAATACTTTTAAAGTGTATTAAAAGGATGTAACCAGTTGCATTGAAGGCTGTTTTATGTACACAAAATGGGTCAAGAATATTCTAATATTGACAAACTCGGATCCTGATCTGAAAAATACTGATATGAATGGAAATACTCTTTAGATAAGGCTTTATAAACAAACAATTAAGTTATTCACGGTTTTACATGGAATAGATTTTCTTACTTTCCATAGGTGATGCATAAGTCCATTAAATAGGTATATCTGACTGTATCTATTGTTGGAACGATGATATCTTGAATCTTAACACTTTTGTTATCACTATATTTAATGCTTTTAATGGATTCATTCCAATGTACCCAGCGTCCTCTACCTTTCAACTAAGAAGAAATATAGATTTTAAGTAGTGTGAGAGGTTAGTGCTGACAGACATAATATAGTACATGTAAAAGGTTTTCTCTAGCACTTCATTCTTTTACATGTGAAGGAAGTGAATACGCTTCTGTGATACTTAACATTTTCCTCACTGCATTTGTAATAAGCAAACCTCACAAGCTGTGCCACTCAATTAAAGTGAATATTTAAAATTCAGACTTCTGTTTTACCCCTCCTTATACAAGGTGCTTTAAAGGCATAAACAAAACACTTAGATACTTTTAAAAATGATATTTACATCCCTAATGTTTGTTTAAGCTCCTCCAAATATATCTGTTAAACAGTTAACCGATAGCACATACCAGGTTTAGTGACCTGCAGCAGAAACAGCCCCAGCCCCAGCCCCAGCCCCTTACGTATGTCTTCACTGTGCTCCAGCCCCAGGCCACTTGCAGGGTGCTACTTGCAGGGGGCAGCAGGTGCAGCTAGCCATTAGGGGATGCTGCTCAGCTGCAGAGCCAAGGCTTCCCCTTGACCCCACGAGCAAGGGCTGGGGCTGGGCTGGGAATGGAACTGGAGCTGGAGATCTCTCCTGAGCCTAGATCCCGCTGCCACAGGAAGGGTTTGGGGGGGGGGGGGGGGAAGGAGGTGCCAACCACCCTCAGGCATCAGGCGGGGCCTTCCCGCTGCAGCAGCAAGACTCCTGACCCCACAATGGGTCTGCCTAGCCCCCCTGCAGTGTTGGGGCCAGGTAGGGCGACAGGCTTCCTGCACCTCCCGCTGCACCTGTGCTACTGCGGCCCAGACATGGAAGGCTCCTCTGTGCTGCTGGCACAGGACCTCCCCAACTCGGCTCAGGGGAAAGGGGGTCTAGTCCCAGTGGTGCTGCATCCTTCCCCCTCCCGCCTGTGGTGCTGGGGGTGCACAGAGACTGGCTCAGTCCTGATATGGGGCTGGGCACATGGCTGGTTCGGCCTGAGGAGGCGCTGTGGGAGCTGGAGCAGGTAGCACCAGCTGGCTGCCAGTCCCTCATGCA